TTTTTAATGAAGGAGGTTTCTTTGAACCAAATAAACTTTTTTTTCTAATAGAAAATTTTCGCTTTGAAGATCTTTTTAATCCAATATAATATTCTTGATCGGAAGGATATTGTTGTTCAAGAGAAGTTGTAGGAGTATTTATAGAAGAATAAGAGCCCAAAGGAAAATCATAAAATTGAGGACATAAAGATTCAGCAACTTGAATTGGAACTCTATGATAACGATGTTTTACATCTGGTGGTCTTTTTATTATATTTGTGGAATTTTCTGAACTCATTCGATATAAGATATCTTCTTCATCACTACTATGAGTTAAAGGTGGAGTTATAGTTGATATCGAAGTATTAGAATTATTACGCATATTTTTATTTTTTTTTTTATATATATATAAAAAATATTCAGTCGTTGAGATTTGCAAATTAAAAGTAATTGTTTTGTATATCGATATATTTCAGAAATTCAAAATGTGCTTGTATTTATAATAAAAGTCCTAAAATACCAATTTAAGAAAGCATGGTCTAACGTAAACGTTTATTAATAAAAGATTTGTTGGTAATGCAGTGTAACTATACGTTATGATGATTTATGAGTATAATATTGATATTGATGTAAGTTTTTTTGATGGCGGTTTGCTATTTGCCGGCGATCAACAACTAATTTTACTACCGCTACTATTTTCTATAATCAAGGCGCAATGCCTTGTTCTTGATTCATCTTTTAGTATTGAGATCGACAATTACGAATCAATATTTAGTTATATTCTCTTATTCATACTTTCCTTAAAAAGGAAAATGGAGACAAGGATTTTATTTATGATAAAAAGTGTGAATAATAATATGGATATAAAAATTACATAATCTGGCGTGAATGAGGATAAATATGTCCGGAATCCTCTTTATATTCGGGTTGTGATACCTCGGTTCATCTGAAACGTATATTGCCTACCTTTCTATGATATTCAAGTTTTTTTTCGTCCAAGAAGATATATATATATATATATATGTATATAAATTTGTGTGGGGCTGTGGAGCGAAAACCAGGAAATGAATCTTTTTTTAAGTTTATGACTTAAATATATAGGTTCGGTTTTCACTCTGCATATCGATATATCCAAATTTATTCTATAGTGTTATATTTAGATCAAATTTACTGAGTACGTATCGGTATGGTTAATCCCAATTTCATACTGGTTTTAGTAACTATAGAATTAGTATAGAATTAGTATAGAATTAGTAACAGGTAATTTTACGAGTACTTATACAAATATGTGTCATTTTATTACTTTTGACTAACGATAAAAATATACGTAACGATAATAATTTTTTTTATCGTTATATTTTTATCATTAATGATTGATAAAAAATATGTTATGTTTATAATTAAACCGAATTAACTAAAATTCTAAAATGGTAAAACAAATTTTTATCGTAAATTAATTAAAGCCTATTTCCAACTAATATTAAAGGTAAATACGAAATAAGTGACGTATTTATTTCTAATTTTTAAGTGTATGTTTATTTGTAACTCCCGAAGCCCTTATTTGTTTTGAAATTTAAAAATACGTACGTACAATTTGTCATAGGGAGACATTCGTCTGATTGGTTGATGCAAATCAATTGCCCGGGGTAGTTTCCGCCCTTTCTACTGCAAAGACTTCACATGATCACGAGATAATTAGGTATTGTATTTCGGGTAACCGGTTGAGTAAATTCTTAATCGGTTGACCCGTACAACCGGTTGAGTATCGGTACCGGTAATCAGTTGACAGGATGTATGGTAAATGACATCAAGAGGAGCAAAGGGTCCGAGAACATCCGAGTAAAGGTCCGAGAACTTCCGCAATCGGTTGACATTAAATATTCCGACTAAGGAATTTTTTCTCGGTTCAAATCACTATTGTGGCCACCTGTTACGATTTCGTGATTTATTGATCAAAATCAAACGATTTTTATACCATTCGATGAGACGATTCGAATGGTATAAAAATCATTTGATTTAGATTACTAGATCATGAGATATTAGTATTTGTATAGATAAATGCCGAATCAAACGATTTTTATGTCATTCGAATCGTCTCATCGAATGGTATAAAAATCGTTTGATTTGGATCGCGAGATCGTTTAGATGGCCACTATGGCCTTTTTAAATTATAGTGTCTTATATAGTACAGTACTTATTTTTATCTAGAATTTCATTTTTGTTTTTTACGAAGCAAAATTCGTTACAGGCATGTATATAAGTATAATAAACGCTATTGGTGAAATGTAAAAATACTAATTCAAGACCCAAATGAACCATTAAATATACCGGTAACAGCGAATATCGACACTAAAGACAGCACTTAAATGAATTTCGAGAAAATTCGAGAAAATTCGAAGACTACTATGGAACCAACCTAGTTAAAGAAAATAAAAATTATTTTTTAAGAGATAATTTACCCCACCACTTCTAATTAGCTGTACTAATTATTCACTTAGCGGAGTATTTATATTATTAATCACGTTCTTTCTACTCCGATAGTGAAATGGTGAAATGAGCCAAATGAATGTTTTTAATTATTAACGTTTATCAGCTTCAAACTTAAAAGTAGGATAAACATCTTGGAAAAAAGACTTTAGGCATCTTCAATAAATTGTCTTTGAAAAAAGAAAACTTCGAAACGTAGTATAGCTATATCCCACAAAAAATTATCATCGAAAAAGGTCTTATAATTTAAGATTACGTAAATTACAACTTGGTCCGGCTTTGTTTTTCTGAATATATCTGCTTAATGAACTTAATAAATACTTTTCGAATATAATCTTTCTTTAATTCTTCATTTTCCGTCGATCCCATTAAATTTACTAATTCTTTAATTGTACTAATTGCTGCTGGTTTATTAGATAAAAGTAGTTTTATATATGAATTAACTTTATTATTCAATTCTTCATGGTCTTTCTCAACGCATGTAATGAATTTATCTGTAACTCCTTGTTCTGCTGATATCTTTTCCCCCGTTAACATATATTGTTTTGCCTTAAATATTCCAATCTCTGGTACTACATATCGTGAAATTATAGCTGGTACCATGCCTCTTTTTACTTCTGGAAATGAAAAATATGCTTCTTTTACCGTTATTCTTATATCTGTAGTAAATATTAATCCTAATCCTCCACCTAAAGCTGGTCCATTTATCTTGGCGATTATTGGTTTATGACAATCTTTAATTATTTTATAAAATTGATATCCTCTTTCAAATTTATTTGAAACTTCTTCGTTTATTATACTACCTAATTGTAAATCTAATCCTGTACAAAAATATTTTCCTGCTCCTGTTATTATTATAATATGAACTGAAGGATCATTTTCAACTTTGGTAAAGATATTAAGGAACTCTGTTACCATTTCTGAAGTAAGAGCATTACCTCGTTCTGGCCTATTTAAAGTTATTGTTGCAACTTGATTTGATACTTCTACAAGTACAGGATTCATTATTTCTAATAACGATAACAATAATTTACTAGAAAATCTGAATCTGATAAGCATATCGTTTCACTGGCCTGAACATGATCCAAATGATGCTGCCAATAGATTCTTCTCCTGTATGTGATCTGAATGTCACGAGACATTATCTAATTACATATATACCCGAATTTTTTTTTTTTTAAAAAAAAAAAACAACAAAAGATCATAATGGCAGAAACGACCGATACTTCTTCTATATTGACTCTCGAAAATTATGAAGGATTCCGAACGAACGCTTATATAACGTTAGAAGCTTATGCTAAAAAACAAAAGTCTACACTTCCCCCTGGGGAGGTTGCTTTTCGGAGGACTGTTGATCCCGCGTCTGCCCTCGCGCTTGAAAAAATCTCTACTAGAATAAAAAATAAGTTGAATCGTTTGTTAGTGAACGCTGACATACCTGGTTCTGAAATGATCGGGAGAGTTAATGACGTCAAGGATTTTGATATTTGGTTTAAAGATTTAGTTACATTAAACGATTCGTTGATTGACGGTGTAGTACGTGTATATTAAACCTCTAAATTTATTATACCTCCCTAAACCATATTCTTAAGTATTTAATTTTTTTTTTCAGAATGCTTCATTGGATGAATTAACTGGCCGTAACCAAAAATTCGCGAGTTTTACTGCCGACGCATCAACATCGATGGTAGCTCAAGTCAGAGCTAAAGTATGCTTTATTTTTCTTTTTAATTTTGATTTATTGAATAATCTTTTATTAACTTTTCATTATCTTTTAGTCTGGGGATTTCAATATTGTATATTCCCGTAACATTACTCGTCCACAAGCAAAGTTTAAAGATAAAGTTGACAATTCTGGTGTTCCTTTTGTTCCTAAACTTCCAAATAAACCGAACGCAACTGTGCCATTAAAACTGGATGGTATTGAAGAGGGTTCTTCGTAAGTTTTATGCCTTTTAATCTTAATCTTTAAATTTTAATTCTTTTTTTTAAAAAAAATAAATAAATAAATTTTATCTTTAAATTTATTAAAAAAAAAATTCAATTAATGTTATATCGCGTTTTTAGGTATCCTCATCCATATCTATATGAGATAACTCATCTTACATACCCTTCCTTCATTTTTGAAGAGAAAGAGCCAATACTATATCAACATCTTGAGACTACTCCTCTTACCTGGGTTGATACATTGGAAGGATTAACTGCTATGTGTCAGAAATTAGATACTTCTCAAGAAATTGCTGTGGACCTTGAGGTGCTTATATTTCTTACCTATTTACTATGATATAATTTTTTAATCTTCTTTTATAATATTAACTGATTTATTATTTCGATTTACTAGCATCATGATTATCGTTCATATCAAGGTTTTACTTGTTTAATACAGATCAGCACGCGATTTGAGGATTTCATTGTGGATGCTTTGGAATTGAGGCATCATTTGCATATGTTAAATAATTCTTTCACCAACCCTAATATCTTAAAGGTAAAATTATTTTTATATATGCAGTGAGACTTCATGCAGTCACACTCATTTATAATATCACATATAAGCATGATCCCAGATGTGATATATGAATTTTTGTCCTCTATATGGTGTCTGCCTCTTTTAGAAGCTCATTTTCTTCTGACCTGAAAGGCGTGATTGTAGTGAGGTCTTGTTGTATATATATATTTCTTTCTTTTTTTATGAGTTGCTTTTATTTTTTTTTTTATTAACTTTTTATTCATTTATATTTTTATTTGTTATTTTAATAGGTTTTCCATGGTGCTGATTGTGATATTGTTTGGCTACAAAAAGATTTTGGTGTCTATGTAGTCAATTTATTTGATACTAGTCAGGCATCTCATCTTTTGGGTAATTAGTATTAGTTGTTTATATTAATATCATTTTTTTTTAATATTTAATGTTTGTTTTAATAATTAATTATCCTCCAAAATAGAATTACGTTTTCATTCGTTGGCGTATTTGTTAAAACATTATTGTCATGTGGATGCCGATAAAAAATTTCAGTTGGCTGATTGGAGGTTAAGGTAACCATTTCATTCCAATATACCTCTTCCTTGTTAATTTTATTAATTTGTTCTTTAATTAATCTTTTTATTTTTTTAGGCCTCTTACTAAAGAAATGATAAATTATGCTCGTTGTGATACACATTATCTATTATATATCTATGACAGAATGCGTAATGAATTGATTCAGAATTCTGTCACTACCACTTACAATTTGTTAAAAGTTACACTTGACCGTTCAGCTGAAATTTCACTTAAATGTTATGAAACTTACCGTTACGATCATAGTGGTGATGGTCCGAATGGTTATCAAAAGTTATTAGCAAAATGGAGTCTTCCATTGAATAGACAACAGGTTGTCTCTATTATTTTTTGGTTATATAATATTTATTTATTTATTTATTTCATGGTAATAATACTATTCAATATTATAGCTTGCAGTATTTAAAGTTCTTCATGCTTGGAGAGATTCTAAAGCCAGAGAAGAAGATGAGAGTATTGCGTATGTATCTTTATTAATTTATTTTTTAATTTATTATATTAATAAAAAAACTTTTTTTAATTTTCTATTAATATAATTTAGCTATGTTCTTCCAAATGATATACTTTTTACCCTTTCCGAAAAGATGCCTGAAGATTCCAAAGATATAACTGCATTTTGTAGAAATATAGTTCCACCACTTGTTAGAGAAAATACCCTAGAATTGGTCAACTTGATCACTGAAGCTAAAAATAGTGTTCTAAATTCAACAAGTATATTTGACAGTAAACCTATGGAAATTGATCATGAGATAAAAACTGTGACGTCAAATATTATTCCAATTACCAATTGTAAGTTTTTTATATTATACTATTAATTCATGTATATTTATACTTTGTTCGAAATTTTTATTTACCTACTATTATGCCTCCTAAGCTAAAAATGTAAGATGGGTTTTGGATACATCACTTCCTAAATATAATGCTGATAATTATAAAGAAAAAAAATCGGTATTATTTGGTGATTTGTTTATTGAGGTTTGTGATTTTTATAATTTATCATTTACACAAATTATTATTTCTAATTATTATCTTTATAACTTTTAAATTTTATAGAATGAAATTAATGAAACATCGAAAAAGAAAGTTTCTGAAATTCTCTCAAATCTCACATTTGCTCCTCCTATATTACCTAAATCCATTTTATATGGAGTTAATAAAATCAATTCACAATCTGAACCAAAGAATGAACCTCCTCAATTATTTATACTTCCTGCGGAACACATTTTTGTTCCTCCTGAGGCAAGAAGTACTAAATCGAAAG